AAAATGCTTCGACATAAAAGCAGAGTAGTAAGAACTGTAGAAATCGATATTCTAGGGTTACAAAACGTTAGTGAAATGAGTTAAGGCGTTAAGCAAACAGGACTTCAGCCAAACGATGAAGCGACCGTAAATGTCGTAATTAGCATTTTAAATCATATTTCATATTCTTCAAGACAAAAAATAAACGAACTGTTAATGGTAGTGACTAAATCTTCAAAAGTTGGCAAGTTGTTCTGATTGAATCGAAACGACCTCAAGTGGATCGAACCGACTTAAGGTATGTATCGAATCGACTTCAATTTGTACCGAAACTACTTGTATCGAAACGACTTTGTATCGAAACGACCGGTAACCGAAATAGGCAGATACAATCAAACTACTAAGGATAATAGGCACTGATTTCCCTTTTTGAGGATGCAATGTAATCGAAGACGAATTTCACTTTCTTTTTTAATGTCCTACATACTCTATGATTAGGAATAAATTTTACTATAAAGTCAAGACTCTGATTCCAAATATTACCCAGTTACCTATAAACGGTTTGATCAATGAACTGATGAACTCTTCTAATTACTTTATCAATATACAATTCATAAAATATATTTCAGCTTGTTTTGATGTTCGTGACAAATTATTATCAAAGTGACTTAATTGCCCTGTGTTGTAATTTTGATTCCTAAAAATAGCCTTTGCAATACTGCATGTGCTTGTATGGTCATGCAAATAAAGCTCGTTGTTGTGGTCAGGAGTTCGAAATTTGAACGTTCCATTCTGTTCGATTGAGCGCTATGGTTTGTGAGTTCGCAACCTCGTTCTCAGGGTTTTTTCCTGGAAACGAGGTTGGCGAGTTCGATTACGTTCCTGGCCGAACTTAAACGAACTCAATCCTACAACTGAATTCGATTAAGCCGGTTCGAATCCTGTGTTCGATTGGTCGATCTTCTCAGCGACTGGATTGAATCCGAGGCTAGGGTAGGTACAGGACGCATCAATTGGATACCCGTGAAGCGAATAAGAGCCTCTGTTTCAATTGAGTTGAGTTGCGCTCATCGTTCTGCAGGGCTGTGGCTGTTACCGAAAGGTAGCGCACTCTCTCAACAGTGAAGTTATCTTTAAAAAAATTAACTGAACATTACGCGTGCAGGAATGCAGATTTGAATTCGATACTGGTTGTGGCAACGACTAACGGATTCATTTTTCAAATAGTCGATTCTTCAATCCCGTAATCCTGACCCAAAATTTCGAGCAATCTCTTAATCCCGATGGTTATTTTTGGCATCCCGCCTCCCGTGCACACTTTCAATCCCGAATCTTGCGTTGATTTTGCTTTCAAATCCCGAATCCCGAGCTTAAAATTAGAGAAATCCCAGATCTCGAAAACACACTGGGAACCCTATTCATGGAATCTTGGCGGTACTCTTGACCTGGCTTGACTGTAATACGAACGCTTAATGATGTCTAAGGAGAATAACACTTAAACGGGATCGGGTGGAGGACAGGATGATTGTCCTACTCGTGACTTTATTGAAAAGAGAAGGGAGTTGTGGAGCTGAAATGCGTTGCACAATTGGGATCGTTACTTGGGACACGCCGATGAGCTATTTGTTCCCCTGTCCTTATTAGTAACAGTCCCAAAAGTCTTTGCGAAACTTAACTCGGTCCATTTTAAGGACCAATAGTGGTGACACACTTGGGTAATGCGGTGGATGGGCTGGTGCGATCTAGAGGCATAGAAGCTAGTAGTGCTCGTAATAGCTTTGAGATGAAGACTAAATGGGTGTCCGCGTTATAGGGTGTGCAGGACAGGTAAGCTTCACGCTTACAAGGATAGATTTTCACGTCCACCGCGGCAAATGTGTCTGGCAAGGAGCCCATAACTTGTAGCTGCTAGTCTGGCGGCTCAGTCTCCAATCTTGGGTGTTTCGATTCGACTGCGATAATCGGGTGGGGAATACCGCGGGCCCATCGAAAGACTGAGCCTACTCTAGCTGAGGCTGAAGCATAATATCGGCCTTATTAGGTAGCGCGTTACCTTGAAGCATTAGAGTGAGGTTCTTGCCTAGGCGTTATTACTGTTATATTGGGAGGTGGGAATCACTTAATAGTTCGAACCAGAAAATTAACTCTACAGGCCAGATGGTGGGATAAGTGCGGTGGGAGCGGAGCACTTAATGCGCGACGTGCCGCGAAGCTCATTGCTGGACTGTAACATGCGTGAACCACACAAAACACAAGCTAGTGTGCGAAGCAGTGAAGGTACGGCGTATACGTACGGTTTTAGTTATCGCTTTGAATATCCTAAAATGGCGAGTCTAACATGATAGCAAACAACTGGACAGGTGGCGGCTTAGGACAAAATGCATTATCCACTCGTGTTCTATAAATTAAACATATTTCTTTAACGAGCTCTAAATTTACATCTTCTAGGAAGATATACTTAAACTCTACAGCACTCGTTTGCCGCCGGTTGAAGCTCCTTCAAGGTGGGTATCTGAAAAGATCAGAAAACAACCTGTCTTTAAGAGTCTTTTCGCATATTTAAAAAAGGAACTGCCTAGAGGCCAAAAACAGCATCTTTCCGCCCAATTACATTTGAAAAGGGATACCAAACATCCGTTTTCTTTTACGAGTATTCCAACACATAAAAGAACATTAAATTTGTCGATAGAAAAACGCACTAGTAAAGAAAGGGTCCCCCGGCCTGATACGGGGAAGATATCATAATAACTTCGACTATAAGCGTAATAGAAATTAATACTAACAGTAATTTTCAATTCTGATCCTTAACTGAAGTGTCAACGTCCCTGGAATCAGCTGCTATTCGCCATTGACTCATTCAAGCATATTTAAACGATATAAATCTTCTTGACCATATATCCACCATAGTTCCTGTCAACAACCAGTGTATCACTGAAGAGCTTAGTAGAAATTGCTTGACTTTTAGTCGCTTCAGTTTACGGCGTCAGTTGGTGGACCATATCCAAAACGAAGATGGTTTAACGAAGGAGAAGGCCTTCTTAAGATTACGGGAAGTAACCAAGTAAGCTGGATTGAAAATTTACGGTCATTTTAAAAAAAATGTAGGGTTTTCGTTGAAGTGAAAAAGGGTTGGTTTTGGCAATCTCCAGAATCCCGATCACAGAGGTTACGTCCGTGTCAAATTTGTCGCGTTGTCACTTTGCGAAAAATATCTTTCATTTTTTTTCGAGGTTAGCTTTAAACGCTTAAAACCAAGGCAACATAAGCTAAAATACTAATACCCGTTCGCTTTGATAACATGGCTTGACCTTAGTCGCCGAATGTAGTGCATAAAGCCACGCCACTATTCCTGCAAAGTGACTAATGTTTTCTTTTTTTTCACGACGATTTTGCTTGGCTCTTTTAAACTGTAGCAAC